TGTAGAATCAAACCGTGAAGTGAACCTTGATGACATTCGTCAGAAAGAGTTGATCCCTTTCCACTTTCACTGGCCAACACTGATGGGTCACTAAGATCAACAAATAAGTTACAACTGAGTCACATCCTTGAGAAAGGAAACATAAATAACTCTCTTCCAGTGTCTGAAAAACAAGTATGCACTGTCATTGATAAGATAGCATTAGTTCATGTGATAGGAAAGCCACCTCAGTGTAGAACCTTTGGTGATTTAGCAGATACCATCATCCATTCGGTTTGTTCACATTTCTCAGTACCAGAGTCGATGTCATTTTTGATCAATATGGAGCACTTTTGATTAAATCAGGAACAAGAACAAAACGAAGATGGGGAATCAGGCCTATTCTTAAGTTAATTGAGGACCGTAATGTAAAATTGCCCAGTATTTGGAATAACTACTTGGCATTGGAAAATAACAAAAACAATTTGGTAAACTTCCTGTCTATAGAACTGAGCAAGATTGATCCTGGAAGTGGTTGTGAACTGATAGTGAGTGGTGGATTCCAAGACTGTAAGGAGACTGTAACATCAAATAACAACCATGATGTCGCCACTTATAAGTCTCTACACGAAGAAGCAGACATGAGAATAATTCTGCATACCCATGAAGCTGTGTCTTGTGGTTATGAGCGTATTATTATAGTTGTTGCCTGAGATACAGATGTCTTGGTTCTACTAGTGGCATTCCAGGTTAAAATTCACAGAGCAGAAGTGTGGATTAAAAGTGGTACTAGTCGCAAACCAAAGTTTGTTGCTGTACATAAGATTGACCTTTCTAACCAAGTTAAATCTTAGACTAGTTTTATTGCCTTTCCTTCCATTACTGGCACAGATACATCACAATTTTCTGGCATTGGCAAAATATCAGCGTGGAAAGCTTTCTGTGCAGATGAAAATGCAAAGCTCTTGGAAGACCTCGGTAATGAACAATTGAGTAGTCTAATGCAGAACAGTTTGTTTGTAGACTGTACGAACCTTCTTCCTCAGTCAGCAGCATCCAGTTGTTGAGGTCAAGAATGTTCGAAAAACCTTGAAGCCTTACCACCTACTCATGATGCTCTGTTGATGCACATCCATTGAGCTAACTTTCAAGCATTTGTATGGCATAATGCATTGGTTACACAACCTAATCAACCAAGTCCAGATGAAAGATAGAAAGTGGAAGGTTAATTCCAATAATGATGAAGCAAGTTGGCATTTCAAGAGATTATCTTCAAGTGACGACCTGTGGGTGTACACAATCAGGGCTGCAATGTAGACAGTGTCGATGCACTAGGTCTGGTCTTTGCTGTACTGCTGCATGCACATGTACAAATTCGATTGTAGCTGATAAAGGCTGGTGTCAAAATCCATACAATGGTAGTTTAAATGATGACGACAAGGATAGTAACTCATAAAAGCTGTTATACGAGTCAAATGACATATTAAACAATGATATATCATCAAGACACGATGAATTGCATCAATGTAGTTTAATGTACATTAGTTGTTGTTTCATTATGTGCTGAAATTTTACACTTCCCATAGCTTATTATGCATTATGTTGTTTTGCATGTTGTTTTGCATCAGTTATTGGTAGTGATGTAAAATAAAAATAAAAACAAGGAATGAAAATATACTTCCGAAATATATATTATTGGGTATTTAAATTTATTTTATCAATTAAAACACTATTACATTATGCATACATCTAATTTGAATCTAGAAACATGTACTCAAAATTTTGATCATGTTGTTATGAGTAATATCTGCTTAATGTATTCAATAAATAGTTTGAAATTTATTGTAAAACAGCTTATAAAATTAATTTTGCTTTTATGCTGATTTTTATGATTCCATACAATTTGTGCACCAAAACAATGCAATTTGGTACCAAAAACATCTTTCTATCTATTATAGTTTCCAAGGTATGACATTTTACAACTTTCAATATGTTATTATGGCGCCATTTTGAAATCCAAGATGGCAGCCCAAAGAAAATTCACGGATGCCAACATCATTTTTTATCAACGTGAGGGGAATATACATTCATTTATATAGACTGGCATATTCTACCCAGAGTCATGGTCACATTCAATATTGTTGATAAATTCATCCTGACTATAGACCCATTGTCTCAGCATGTAATTGTCCGACTGAGCACATAGCATGATATTTGGATTCTATGTTGAGACCTGTGTTACGTCACAGCCTACGTATGTTCAGGATACTAATGATGCGCTTAGGAAACTAGAGTTATTTCGTTTCACGCCCGATAAACCCAGATCTATCCCGCACACTGATGGACTGTTGGCTTTACAGCATTTTCTGAATAAAAGGGCAGTTAAGGATTCTCCTACGTTTGTGTTGGTGCGCCTAGCGGAATTAGTTTTGAACAGGAATTGTTTTTCTTTTAATGGTAAACATTAGATATAGAAACGAGGTGTGGCTATGGGCAGTTGTTTTGGTCCAAGCTATGCATGTTTATTCATGTCATATCAAGAGGAGTTAATTTTTTCGTCTTTTCAAGGCACTAAACCTGAATTTTATGTCAGGTACATTGATGATGGCTATGGTGCCGTGTCAAGCAGTCGGGATGAGTTATTACAGTTCATTGACTTTGTTAACAACTTTAATCCCGCCATACAATACACACATGAAATATCAGAAATAACACTACCACTTACATACCATCCTTTAAATGTCAGGATTAAAAACATAATGAACAAACATTTTCACATTTTACAGACCAGCGAGGAGACTAGTTCTACGTTTCCACTAATGCCTACTACTGCCTGGCGCCGTGACACTAATTTAAGGAGTTTATTGGTACATACGAGTGAAAGGGGAGACCCAGAAAAATATGGTTCTGTCCCGTGTAATCGACCTAGGTGTAATACTTGTCCTTTTATTACAGACTCTAATTGTATATTTGGTCCCAAGGGAGATGTTGAGGTCAAATATTCGTTCAGTTGTATTACCATGAATGTTGTATATTGCATTTCATGTATTAAATGTGGGAAACTTTATATAGGTTCTACAGTTCGTCGATTGGGTGATCGGTTTGCTAAGCATGTACGTCAAACTGGACAGAAAAATCGTTATTATCCGGTTTCACTTCATTTTAATTCTAGTGGACATAACATTACAGATATGTCTATTTCTGGTGTATGTGTTGTCAATGGCAACGAAAATCAGCTCAGGCGAGTCGAGGAGGAAACTATATTCCGCCTTGGAACTAAAGAACCCCATGGAATTAACAAACAGTTCAACTCATTTGTTGAGCTCACTACCTAAGGCGCGTTATTTGTTCTATTGTGGAATTTTTTGTGATTCTGATTTATAGTTCATGCGCGTTCTTACGTTCCTATGTTCTACCTGTACGTTTTAACTTTTTCTTCTATGGTATCGATAAACAGCCATTGCTCGAAACGTCTAGCTATTTTTAATAGTTATTTAGGACTACGATTCCAAATACATGTATTATCTTCTATATATCATATTTATCAGTCCGAGCAGCGTTTATAAATTTATAAACTACAGTAACTGTTCTTTGAAGATTGCTTATCAAAAAAATTGGTAATCAAGCATGGGTATTGACCATTGTGAATATCGTCCGAATGTGAAGACCACTGTTACTGTAGTATGTAAATAATATTGTGAGCGTCATTGTAAATGTATTGTAGAAATCAATGACGATGCAGCTCATTTTGCAAACAAAAAAGATGTTCTATTCCCCCTAATCTCACACATGGTCAACGAAAATTGTCTTTTGGCAAATTTTTCAAATGAGTGCTCGATTATGTGCCTACCTCTCTTAAAACCTGATTTAGTGACCTGGGTACTATGGATGCTATGCTAGACAAGTATGATATTTTCTAGATCAAAGTGTAATTTTCTCAGCTGAGGTCACTGGGAGCAAAGTCTGTGAAATACCGTAACTACTAAACAACTAACCTTGTAAGGAAGAACTTTGTCTTGGAGTATTATACACAGCAAATGTAGGTTTTTTAACAGATGTCAATCGCTTCAAGGAAAATGAACTGACTCGTTTTTCCTACAAAAAAAAAAACACAACAAACAGAATAATTTAATAGGCGGTAGTTGTTACGCCACATCTTGTTCGATATGAAACTCATACACAACTAACACATGTAAAACACATTGTTTGTTTAAATAAAATTCAAACAAGCGATGTACAGCGACCACCTAAATTGTTTGTTAATACAAATCACATGGTCAATCATACTGATGTGATACATATATGGATGATATGCATGAACAGGGAACACACATTGAATTTGTTTGTTAATACAAATCACATGGTCAATCATACTGACGTGATACATATATGGATGATATGCATGAACAGGGAACACACATTGAATTTGTTAATACAAATCACATGGTCAATCATACTGATGTGATACATATATGGATGATATGCATGAACAGGGAACACACATTGAATTTGTTTGTTAATACAAATTACATGGTCAATGATACTGATGTGATACATATATGGATGATATGCATGAACAGGAACACACATTCAATTTGTTTGTTAATACAAATCACATGGTCAATCATACTGATGTGATACATATATGGATGATATGCATGAACAGGGAACACACATTGAATTTGTTTGTTAATACAAATCACATGGTCAATCATACTGATGTGATACATATATGGATGATATACATGAACAGGGAACACACATTGAATTTGAAAATATAATTAACTTAATATAATTAATTTGTTATTTAATATAATTATAGCAAAAAGTCACTGTAAATGTCCCTGCATGTAATAACATAATTACCATATTGTTGCTCTATTAGTTAGAGCATCCACTTTATAGGTAAATAACAGAAATGAGTCATAGGCTAATATACAACAAGTCATTGAAAAAGACAATAGAGATGAGACTGAAATCTTATGAGAAAGAAGCCTGTTACAGAAATGTTATGTTATGACCTAAATCTGAATAATTCTATCACCTTGCTGCATAGTGTATAAAAGTATACATGTCAGTTAGCCAGTGGGTAACAAAATAAACGGCAAGATTCAGCCTACCTGTTCTCTCTCTCGGATATACAGTTTTCCAGTAGATTTCCACAAACTCTGTGAGTGGAAAACATTTTCCATATCCCCCATAACTCTTTTTGATGAATGTCCACTTCCACTACTGCTTTTTTTCACAACACTTTGATTGTCTGCAGACATCCCATTTGTCAAATGTTCAACTAGGACGAATTCCCTTGGATCTTCTCCAAAGCGCCTTGCCTTAGCCATCGACTGCAGAACAAAATATGGTAATATTTATATGTTGCCAGATCTTGCCTTTGTCATTGTATGTACGTGGATGGTGGATGGGAGGGATGTATGAATTAAAACTCTTAAAGGGATTTTAATTGACATCCTATATTTATCTTTTCTAGAAACCAAGAAATCTTCTATCTACTATCCTCGGGCAGACGTCCGAGCATTTTCACTGTACTTTAAGATAGTTATTGAGACTCTACTTAACAGTGTAACAAGATTACCCCTATACGTGCATCATATATAAATTCGGTTGCTCAGGACTTCTTAGAAGTTGAGTTTGTGTCATTTCCACGAATTTTACTCTTTGACCACAGCAGCTCGCGCAGAGCAAATAGAAATACAGTGGTGTGCGCATTAGCAACATAGAATATTTTGTGGTGTAGCTCTGCCCCGAGAATTGCTATAGATTGTCATACCTGTGCTATAATGTCCTGTGCAGTACTTGAAACCAGAGCTCGGAATATAGTATATGGTTGTTCTTTGGATACATTATAAACACAGACGAGAAATGTCTGATCATCAACATCTGTCATATCACCAACACCAGAATCCTTCTGCAAATTACCAACATTAGATTGCATACTTTCAGTTACAAAATCAAAGGAAGCTTAGAAAGAAGTATTTGAGTATATGAGAGTATTTGAGACACATTAAAAATTAATTCAAAATTACTTGTACTTGAGATAGTGATGGGAAAACTGAAAACTGACCAATTATGCAAATCAGGTAATCAATATGAACATATTTGAGTGTAAAACTAATAAGGTCTGTGCAATGTAACAGACCATCTACATGTATGTACCAAGTTTCATTGAAATGTGATTAGAACCAAATTATTATGAATTATTGACTTAATTAGGGAATTAATATGAACAGATTTTAACCCCAAAACTAATCAGGTCTGTGTCTGTTCTAGAGCATCAATGTAGCAAGTTTCATTGCAATGGAATAATTAGTACTCAAGATACCAGGGTGAAAGCTGAAAATTGGTCATTTATGCAAATTAGGTAATTAGTATAAATGTCCACAAAACCTAAATCAAATCTGCGCATTAGCCAAGAGCATCTATGCATCAACTTTCATCAAAAACAGACTGTAGTACCTAAGAAATAAGTGGAACAGACAGACACACACACATACATACATACATACAGACAGACAGACTAAGTGCAAAGACTCCCATTGTGTGCTTTGCACAAAAGAGTCAAAAACATGTAGACCGTTTTGTGTTCATTGCAAGATCTTGCATTATGTGTGAAATCCAAAGTCATTGCAGTGGCATCAAAAATTGTGTAGAATGCACAAAATGCTAAACTTCTTTGGGGTATTTTGATGCTTAATAATATAGAGGTATGTAAATGTGTCAAAATGGGCGTAGTGCGAGTAGTTAGTGCTAGTAGCACTAATCTGAAAAAGTACTAGATCTAGTGCTAAAATGGCACTAGATCTAGCGCTAAAATGGCGTTAGATCTTGTGTTAAAATGTACATAGTGCATAAACATTTTATAATTATAGCGAATTTCAATGAAGCAATATTATAGGCATTTTGACATTCTATCTCACAGTGAATAGGAAAATCACATATTTATCCGTAAGGGATTGAACATTATATATAACATTTTCATAAATGAAATATCAAAAGACGTACATGTTTAAGGTAAAATGTCAAATCGTAAAATATAGTACACAGTAATATTTTACAAAGTTTACAGTGCAAAACCGACACGTACAACTCAACAAAGAAAACAGCATGAACACGTGCACACATGCAAAAGATATAGACAATAATTTATAAGTGGTCTCACACCACAAAACATTCTCCGTATTGAAGGTTCTAATACAATTTTTTGAATTACAAGTCAGATTCAGTTCCCATTGTTATGGCTTTTGTCTTCTGATAGTTTGGTTTAATTGCTTTTATAAAATTTCAAAAAAGATTCTCTTTAATTTCAAAGTTGATTAAGGAAGCACGTCATGCATTCCCTGATATCAAAATATTTCAAACAAGCATCCCATTTCTAAATGTGGTGTGAAACCTTAATTTGATATATTGGTATATGATAGGATAGGATAGAATAGGATTTCCTAAGCTATCAAGACAGTGTGTGGGAAGGCTGTATCAATATGTTATTACCATATGCTGGCTTAGATAGACATTTGCTAGCCAAGCTCTGGTACTTGGATCCTAATATCGTGCAACGCATATACATGTAGTACGCAGTAATTGGAAACAAATATAAGAACATGATTTGACATGAGTGCAACAATACAGACAAGATGAAAACATGATCTGATGATATACTGTGATCATTTCATTTGGCTCATTTTTAGAGCCAGTTTAGAATCAGTCTGATGAATTAATATGCATAAATTGAATAAATATGCAATGATTAGAGAAGGGACTCGTAATATTTAGCTGATAGTTTATCCCTTTGAACAGTTAGCGTTTAAATGTCACTTTAGCGAAAAATAAGTATTGGTTTTTTTCCCATATTTTTTCTAGTAGGATGTGAACTGTAGTTAAACACATACAACTACAGCACAAAGATTTTGATGAGAAATATCATGCCGTTGAAAGGAATAAAAATAAATATAAAGTTCACCACTACTTAGATTCATTAAAATTAGGATGACACTGATGACATCACTTACATCTGCACTATGTTTGAATAGAAACCTTCCACTTCCTTTCCATTTGGCCTGGGTTTCTAGTATTTTTTCATCTTTTTCCAACACTCTTTGGATCTTATTTTGTGATTTTTCATTACCCCAGCCTTCCTGTACTTCTTCCACAATCACATAATCATTTATTTCATCCAATGATTTGCCAGATTTTCCTAGTGCCTAAAAACAAAAATATTATAGTTGGCAACATTATTGGCAACTTTAATTCACAAATCGTCATATAATTAACTCTAATTTGTAATTGTAGCATTTATAATAGGTACTTATATTAAATCTATTCTGAACAATTCAATCAAATTACCTGAGCAATACATTCTCTTGTATTTGTATCTTGGGTGACCTTCAAACTGGTACATGATTCCGAAAGAACCACACCGAAAACTATAACATTGAATGTCCTTCTTTTCAGTTTGCTATCCCCAAAAACCTAAGATAGGAGAAATAGGTTATTTTTTGTATGAATATTGATATTATCTAGTTTGTACATTGTTATAAATTCCAGTAAAGTAACTATTGATTTCATTCTCATGTTACATAAAATAGCTTGGCACAGCTGAGTTGGTCACAGTGTTAAGGGGAGATGAAAAAGACTGTATCCCAATTCAGCATGCCACTATGCTGGTATTTTACATCAGCGTGTCCCTTAAGCTGGTATTTGACATCAGCGTGTCCCTTAAGCTGGTATTTTACATCAGTGTGTCCCTTTAAGCTGGTATTTTACATCAGCGTGTCCCTTAAGCTGGTATTTTACATCAGCGTGTCCCTTAAGCTGGTATTTTACATCAGCGTGCCCCTTAAGCTGGTATTTG